AAAACACAAGTGTGATTTATAATAACAGCAACAATGGGACCATCCCTTTAAAGTAAGCTATGACAGTTAAGAAGCATCAATAGCAAGGAACTCCTAAATAAACTGCAATCGTCATATATGATGGTTACTGAGATGGGTTGAAATATCAGGTATGACAAATAGTTTATTTTGGTGTAGAGTATTGCCCTTATTAAAACCCATCGTATCAGGCCAGTCGTTATTGGTGATGAGCTGTTATTGCATACTGTTCAGGGGCGGGGTTCAGTCAATACATTTTGAATAAAAACATTCATCGCATTAATTCATATGTTGAAAAGTAATCAAAAACCCATCAATTAATGACTAAGTCTTTACAGTAATAATGTACAACATTATCCCATTATAGTTTGAAATTAATGAGGGGTGATTCCAGAAAAATCCAGCTCTTACTGTAGGTGTTTTCATGTTTTTTTTTTTATCCTTTGTTATTCACTCAGATCTCACGATAACACCTACAGCTTTGAAGAATGTGTGTGATCCTGCATGCAGTGCAACTGGAGCAGATCAGGCTTTTTCATTTAAATATATTGAGAGAAAATCCCGGACAGCTATGAACTCATTATTGCACATTCAATAGATTTCTTTCATTGAACGGAAAATAAATGACATCAGCTGTTTGATGGCATTTCCTTTAGGGTAAACCCAGCTCTGTTATTTTCAGTCAAAAGCCCAACCTGTCTTTACATCGTAGCACCTCAGCAATGAAAAACTGTCACCTCAGTATTGTTTATATTAGGCTGGTTGCCGCAAGTGAGGGAAAGTGTGCAGGTCTGCATTACCATATGAACATTTGAATATCTACAGGGCTGAAAAACAGATTAAAAAAAAGCCATTCCTCTGAAAATAATATTTTGTGTGGTGGAAAAAATCTATTTCGTTTGATGAAAACTGACAAAAAAGTATACTATGTTTATCTGTAAAGCAGATGATTGGTATATTTAAAGCTTGGGTGGCAGCAAGAATAAATGTCCATTTAATTTTGTTTTAAATGGGTGTTCAAAGCCAGCTAGGTGTGGTTGGAGCATCAGCTGTTAACGGGAAGAAAGGAGTGGCTCAGCTGGCCAGTGTGAGCAGCTTCAAGTAAATGATTGAACCGGCACATATTAGGCTACACCTGACCCATCAGTATCAATGTGCTCTCATGCTTGCAGTGGGACTGGGCTGCCATCATGGCACACAGGCTTCAAATAGTACTCCCACTCACATCATTCAATGACACTTAAGTCCAGTCCACATTCCAAGGTGCAGCGCCAACTATCCATTTGTACCACAGCTGACAGTCTGGGCTCCGATTCCAATTTTCAGTCAGTGTGTGTCAAGATGAAAATCCAACCTCAGTGCAACCCTGAGAGCAGTTACTGATGACATATATGTTTTCTGGTGTCATTAGCTGTCTCACTAACAGCTGCTAAACCCTGGACGGCTGAGGCACTTTTACCCCTCCATCCAAAGACAGTTTGCTTTAGATGTGCAAATCATAGACTGTATATAATGATGGACGACAGGACGAGTACCGAAAAGTGAAGCCAAAACATCTAGCTGATGGCTGGCTGCAGTAAAGCTCATAAATCTCGCTCCTCTACGTTAGCTGATGGGAGAAGTGCCAAACTAAAAAATCATGTATGCGTCGAAAAAAGTGTTCATTTTCTAAAGTGTTATTTAAGTTATTTAAAGCTATAAAAGGGAGTGTGATGTCATGATTGACATCCGTAATTGACAGCAGCTCTGAATGAAGTAGTCGCAGAGCTAGAGGATCATGACTTTTTTTGTTTAAATAAGCAGAGAAGGTGCAAGGGTAGATTATTTGATATTAATGCTTGACATTGAGTGTGCTGCAGACGAGTCAATTAATAATCAGCCAACACGAAGTGAGTCTATATGAAAAGCTTTTGTGCACATTTTAAATAGCACTGCAGGTGAACAGCTTTTAGTAATCTGAAAAAGCATTACCTCACCCTACATGGCTATTGTTGCAAGATAAGGACTAGTATTTATGAGTAAAAAGCACCCAAAGTCTTTTTTTTTAAAGGGCTCTGCAGAATATAAGCAATACATTAATAGATGATCATATTCATTGTGTTGTTAGAAATAAGAAAACAAAAGTAAACAGGATCCAAATGGGTTTGACCCGCTGCATTCACACACCTCATCATCCTCCCATCCTCAAGGAAAGGAGCAGAAAAGAAGAAAGCGAACTGAATGACAGCTCAACAGATGAGATAGTCTAATCCTCTTCTAAAAGAGCTTCATTGAAATGACTGGGAGCGGGGAGGACAAGACGAAAGAAAAATTGGAGCATTGTGTATTGTATAGCCATCACGGGGCGTCTTTGGTCTTCTCTGTGAAGTGACTTTGACAGTTTTGGGGATTAAGGAGCAGTCCATCGTCCATGGCCCAAACAGCAGGGATTAGACTAAATATGCTCACACTTGTCTCCGGTTCCCTCCACTTGGTAAATCAATAAAGCATTATTTTTCTACAGTAACAGAGCACATGTGTGCGGGAGAGAAGGTTTGTTAAGAGAGAGAAATACATGCATGAAGGGGGAAAATGGCTCGCCAGTGTTGCTGAAATCTCCTTTTTCTGTTGTTCGAGATGCTCGCTTGCAGACATTCACAGACAAAATATATTACTGCTACCGCTAAGTTATTGTTAAAGGCCAAACCTTCAACTTGGAATAACCTCGGCCAGCCCCCTCACATATTCAGGTCAGAAAGTATTGTTTTGGGATTTTGATGGAAAATATCATTCTACATTTTACATTTCCAAAGAAACTCCTGACATGATAGCTGCCAAACATAACTACATTGGGTTTCAACCTTTTTGGCTTCTTGCAAAAATGATAGAAACCTCTATGTACTGTACAGCAACAACAAATCTGATAACAGCAATGACTTCTGTATAGTTCTAGCTCCTGATGTGCTAGTAGGGTGTTATTCAGTTTTGATATTTTAACCGTTATGTGTGAGTCAAGGTGAAATATGTAGGTTTAGCCAGAAACAAACAGATCAACATTCTGCATCCCTGTAACATTTCAGGCAGCTGGTACCTTTGTGTTGGAAAGGCTGTGCCGTCATGCTGGTAAGATGTAAGGTCAGGAAAGATGGTTTCAGTGCAAAGGAGACTTTGATCTCCAGGGGCAGCACCAGTTTGGAAGTGAGTGCATACAAAGTCCAAAAAAAGTTGTACTTTATGAAATATTTAAAAATATTAAACCAACAAAAAAACATTCCTTCAAGATCAGCAACTGCCACGCCATTTCTGAAAGTAACTCCTCAGTATCACAGAACAAATTACTGTATGAGACGTCTTTTAGAAAATGTTTATTAGCTGCTTCCCTTTTACAGCTCTTCAAAGGCAGGCGCATACAGTATATCTTTGGCTAACGTCTGTGTGTATTGCAGTTACACTATAATCATTCTTCGTAGTAATCCACTAATAGCGGCATGTCTAAACAAATCACTGGACCAACACATTCACATTATTTTTATAGGCTGCTACACTTAAAATAACCCCTGCACAACGTTGATTAAAAGTTGCAGCTGCAATGTCAAATGTCTTGTTTTCTTAAGGGAGAGTTTGCTAAGTGGAACGAAAGCTAAAGAGCAAATAAGCGGAGCTTTACCCGACCCCAAATCAGACTCTAATCCATAAAATTACACCTGTCACTAGAAACTTATATAATTTAAAACTACTTCCTGATCCGCGGGGGAAAAACCATTAAAGTACACAAAGACCTTCAATCAGCACTTAATTAACACAGCAACCTTTTTACTGAGTGCTGGCAATCACTCCCTCCCTATCTGCCAGATTAGTTTAAAGACGTGAATTCAGAAAGGAAATGACGAAAACAACTTTGAGGATATGGCAGTGGAGAAAAAATAAGTATGCAAATAAAGAGAGGGGAGTGGATAGGAGAGAGGGAGAGAGAGAAGAGGGGATATTTCAAAGGTCTGGTAACTTCCCCATCCCCACAGAGGTCTCAACAGACATATGCCACGGCCTTTACGGACAGTCAAGTGTGACACCACTTACACATTACATGTATTAGTGTATCTTTGACTAAATGTAAATGATGAGCCAAAGCAATTTCTGAAATGATGTTAACGGTGAAAAAAAAGAGTTCAGTCAAAGTGATTAAGTTAGCTCAATGAATGAGTATCAAAAGAGTGAGTGAATGAGATTGTAGCAGCTGTAAAATGCACTCAATCGATTCATAGTTATGTTATTATATATATATTTGTCTTTTATAAATGTAAAAACGAGATTAGATAAAAGACTTCTGCTGTGTCAACTAAATAGAAAGATATGAGTGGAGACTAAAAGCAACTAAAAACAAGTAAAGAACAGATCAGATTAAAAGTATTTTTCTCATTTCAATTGAAATGATGTGTATATAAAAATTGAGGCTGTAATAACTTGGACAAAATGATGACTCACCAGCATTGCTGAACCACCAACAATTAGTACGTTTAAGTTCTGCTGTTCCCTTCAACTCGGGAAGTGTTAGCGTCCTTTAACTCATTGTTTTAGACCAACTTTAATGTTTCAATTTACCCTCATCAAACTTGTTAGGAGCAGCAGGTAGCTCATCGAAACCCACTGTAGGCCTATGGTAACTGCACAGCATCAAGTGGCAGATGGACAACGATAGCTAGGAACACATGTATATATCTGATAAATATATTGAAGTATTTTATCAGCCAAATAGACAGATATTTAACTCTAGAGTTGGTGGAGAATAAGGAGAAAATCAAAGGGAATGTTGAAATTAAATTCACCAGGGGGGCAGACAATTACTGCAAACACTTGTGCAAATGTGAATGGCAGCTGTTTGCTAGCATGTTCGCTATATCAACTTTATAAGATATCAATGTTATGTTTAGTTGTGCTGCAAACGTAACCAATGAAACATATTTGCTGGTAGTATTCCTTTAAAGTGAAGTCATTTATGTGCTAACCTTTGCTGATCGTAGCCCGACTCCTTCCTGCGGCAGTGAAGAGTCACCACTCGGTGGCCTTCGCTCCTCACATCCTGGCTCACCATCCACTGAGTGGGATTGCTGGGACGAGCCCCGAGAAACGTCACCCCTTCTTTCAACTTCACCCTGTGGAGAGAGAAAATACATGTTTATGGATGTATAAGGCTGAGAGATTCTACTTCTTTTACCAAGAAGTTTCTCATTTCCGTTTGTCATTGGATATGGATGCATGGCAGCTGCGCACAGACAGACAATTACTTTTTGTTTTGTCATTCTGTCTAGAAATACATTATCCAGATGGTTCACTGCACTGCCTTGTCTTCTGAAGATGTCCCAGCTGTTATCTTGGTTTTGATCACACTGTTTTTAGTCCCCAGAGGACAACTGGGTGTTTTAAACACATGTGTTATCTTGTGTTCTCCACCGGTCAATCTGATAATCAAAACGCAGCAATTTGCAAGTGTTGTTTGTACAAAGATATATCCAAACAGAGCCTAAAGCTAAATTAACTAATCAAAAAGTAACACCCTCTGACACTTTGGGATCAACCATCAAATGGTGATGGTGTTTGCTGTAAAATGATGGTTTTGTATAAGAGGGATGTGTCCATTCCATTATGCAACTCCTCTACCTCCCTCAGTAATAGATTCACTCTCTGACAGTCTGAAAGGTACACTATGAAAAGGTTTCTTTGACTGCGGCAAAATTACAGCGTCAATGTCCTTGGCTCAGCGGACTACAAAGGAAGGGAAAAAAAACGGTAAATGAAAAACTCGAACACAGAACCCATATTGTAAGGTATATCCAAAGAGAGTGAACTCGGGTGAAAGTGGTGACAAGTTACATAACATGTGAACTGTCATTTCATATCGGTGACATCGAAGTTTCAGGATTGATTTATTCAAGACTAAATTATAAAGAGTGCCTAATCACTTTCACTATCTAATCCATACCAGGTTGGCAGATGGGACCAAAGAAAGGACTTTGCTTTCATCTTCAATTTGTTGCTGCACTTTAACATGCACTATGCGATTGCCTGTCTGTTTGCCAATGAATATATCTGCCGTCTCAAGTCAGGCTACTGTCTTTGATGTTGTGATGGGGGTTCTATACGAAGTGAAAATGGGTATTATGACAGATGGTATGCTTCCCCTCTCCATAAGAATAAAGGTAAACACTAGACACAAGGGTCAATCTGAATGTCCGTGTGTATATGTGTCATCTTCTGTGTGTTGCAGTCTTCCCAATATGATTTGAAGTATTTTTGCCAGCTGCTTCCCTCTCTGTTGTGAATGAAAGCCTTTCGACATTTATAGATTTTGCCACCACATCACATGTAAAGTCTTTATGATCGGACTACAATATTTTTGTCCTTTGAGATGAGATCAGTGTCAGATTTGGCATCATAGAGTCCTAAATGATTGCCAGTACTTGGCTGACAGACTAAATGTTGGACACCAACAAATCACATTGCCTTCTTTTACAACTCCTGGAACTTGAAATGTAAGGTTACCGTTTCACTTGACAACACCAACAAATATTGGGTCTACGAATGAAAGCAAACCTTGAACCCACGCACCATCACTCAGCAGTGAGGTTGGTTACTTTGCAGTCTGCAGAAATAGGTGATTGTGTGTGTGGGCAGCATGTGTGTGTACAAAGAGTGATGCTGCAACCAGAGGTGTGATAAATATGGTTTAATGCTTCTCACCAGAGGAAGATGGTTAAAAGGTTACAGGTTTACTAACATTTAAACATATTGTTTATAGTTGTGTACTGAGAAGCAATCTGTGACCACAGTACTTGGCAAATAGGATTGTTTGTGAATAAAAAGTAAGCAAACCACATCCAATAATGTGTATAACGGTTTAAAAATATCTTCTGTTCTATAAAGGAGATTTTGTTTTATTAAAATGTCTTTTCACATTGCATTACTGTGTCAACACGGTTGTTTCGTGTTCTAATATTATTCCTAATTTTGTATTTTGTTCTTTTATATTCTTTTAATTAATAACTTCACTTTTCCCCCAAAAGATCAAAAGCACATAGCAACAACTAGATATAGTATACAGTACATGCAAGCTAAAGTGTAGTTTGCTAGAAGGCCTTTTTTTTTTAATTCCATTAAATAAATATAATTATGAATCAAGAAATATGCTTGGTAAACATAATATAAAAGCAAGAAATCACTGCAAATGGTCTTATTTGGCTAGTAAAGGTCAAGGAGAGGTATCACTCCAAAAAAGAAACCAATATCACTTCATCCTGACCTACATTATCTAAAATACTCTGGACATCATAATATAAAAGCTTACGTTGTCAATGAATTTTTCCCCCCCGACTAAATGGTAGATCCACTGTTCAAGCCAGAGTGAAAGGGAGTGCTGGGGAGGACCTAGGTGGCAGTGAGCATACAGCTGTAACACAAAGAGCTCAGTCCTCCCCGGGTCCCAACGGGAGCAGCGAGGGCTTGTGTCTGGTTTCTTTACACTTCAGTGATCAGGATGTCTATCAGTGCTTTCCAGTGAGGCTTCAGAATGTTTTAAACACAGTGGAGTCTCAGAGAAGCAGTCATTACTCCACAGACCATATACCAGCTTTCTGATAGGTGTTAGAATGTGGTCGAAGTGTCTTTCATTGACTTAATGGTCAATTTGGCCTTGTAACCAGCCAGCAAATTAGTCTCCTTCAGGTTACAAAACAGTCATCCAATACTATTGACTCTGTAACATTTTATATATAAGATATAAGATCAGTTTATAAACTGTGCATTTATATAGGTTAAACTACATAACAGTGTATAGGTATTAAAATAACCTTGACTACATTCAGAAGCTGAGGCGGTGATGAATCAGGAATGAAATTCCTATAATAAACATATTATAAATGTAACACTTTGAATCCATCCATTTTGCATATTGTGTGCTTTTACTTTTGATAATGTATGTATTCATTGCCCCTAATACTATTAATGTTTAAGGTTTTCAATGTAAGACTTTTAACTACTTGAATAAAGGAGCTACTAATGGCGCGTTTCCACTACAGCCCGCAGCCCGGTTTAAGAGGGCTGTGACGTCAGCGGCCCGTCTTTGGTTGCGTTTCCACTTGGCCTAGTACCGGCCGGCGGGTCCTAATTCACAGTTTTTCTGGCCTCATAAAATCGTGGGTCCAGGGCCAGAGACAACGAGGCTGAGTCGGGCTGAGTATGCTAAACTAGAGAGAGCGTCGCTGGCAAGGGGGCAACAACTACAACAAGATGGACATATTTCACCGTGATTTAATTGTAATACACGTTTCAAAATGATGCCGAAGTAACAACATACTGATACCGGTTAGTAAAAACCATGAATTAATGCTTTGTCAAGTCTGCAGACAGACGGCAGGCGAAAAACCTTTTAAAATGCTTGTTTTCTAAATGGAGATTGGCTAAGCTAACGCAGTATATGCTCCGACCGTCCACACTCACAACAACGGCCTATACAGACATAAATAAAGCAGCGACTGTATTCACCATGACACAGGCAGTCTGTGGTTTGTACTTGTTTAACTTTTGTCTAGTTTCTGAACATATATGAGGAGCTGTGAGCTCTGAGTGCTAACAGCTAACGGCTGTGTTGTTTTTCTGGGGTCCTCTGAAGATCACGTCACGGCTCCGCATACACTGCGTTACTATAGATACTGCCCCAGTTCCTAAACTGTAATGGAAATGCGCCATAAAGTGAGCCAGTCCTAACGAGGCCCAGCCATACCGAGCGGGGCCGAGCGAGGCCGTGTAGTGGAAACGCGCCATAAGTAAGAGAGTGGTGGAAGAAGTGCTTCTACTACTGTCAAAATGAATGTTTACCAGAGTATCAGCGTAATCCATGCATCAAAGTATCAACAACTGTTAAAAGTTTCCACAAAATGACATACTTCAAGCCATGCCACTACGTAGTATGGCTAATATAAAAGTATTATACATAGCAGAACATTTTTCATTAAGGCTTCAAGGAGCTGTATGTTTATACGTTTTCTTTGATCTAATTTTATTTTTGTATATATTTTATACAACAAAACAGTATAACTGTTGTTGTGTTGCATTTCAGAACCAGCAAAATGAGTGATTTCAAGGGCAAGGCAGATACCAAGTATTACACAACTAGAGAGAACGTAAAGATACAGAAGCCCAACAACTGTAGAAGGGGAATGTAGGGAGGCGTGTGGCGCAGTGGACTAGTGCGTTGGTGTTCGGATCAGGGGACCACAGGTTCAAACCCCACTGCAGTCAGCATGCCGTTGTGTCCCTGGGCAAGACACTTCACCCCAAATTGCTCCTGTGGGGATTGCCCACAGTATTGAGTATGTAAGTCGCTTTGGATACAAGCGTCTAACAAGTAACATGTAATGTAATGTAATGAATAGTCTAAAAAGGCAAACGTGTTTAAAGGCGGACTAGATGCAACTCCACAAAACTGTAAGAAATCATAAGAACTGGACCAGTATTCATCAGAACCATAGTCTGAGGCAAACGGCACCGAACAAGGAGAAATGATGCAAGGAGTACAGGGGCAATCAGTGAGCCGTCTGAATTGTTATGCCATGTCATCACTGCCCTTACTTGGAGAAAAAGGAAGAAAAATCATGCTGCAAATTCTCCTATTTTTTCCTTTCTTCAACTTTGGCTTTCTACTTTCTCCCTACCGACCAGCTACCTTCAAATCTGATTGTATGCTTGGACTCCTCAGGGGCTCCCTTAATAAATAGTGATGAGATAAGTAGGAGAGATACTTCTCAGCAGGGACAGTGAAAGGAATAAACATTTCCGGGGGAAATCCAATAAGGTTGAGGCTGGACGACAATGGGAGTCCCCAACCAGTGCTTCATATCCCGCGACCCTGGCTGCACTGTAGTTACCTCTGTGTGGCCTGCTTCCATCTGGCTCTGTGGGGCCGCTCCTGGCTCACATGCATCACAGGGTTTGGTGACCTATTCTGAACATTTTCTCTACCGACTCCTCTGAGGACCATGTGCATCAACAATCAGGAGCTCCCAGAGGAAGCGATTCTCATTTTATTGTGCCATTCCGCCTACATAAACAGTGTGCAGAGAATACAACGGCTCAGTGGGGAACAGGGGGAAAGAGAGAA